CAAGCACTGAATTGATATAACCACAGCCCTATATCGCTCTGCACAGACAAACGCCTCATACAGAACTGACTAGAATGAACATAAAAAGCAGGTATCGGGGAAGAGATAAAGGGACCTTTAACGTAGGCAGGGACGCATGTTCTATAGTGAAAACAACCACCAGACCATCAATTAGACTTGCTGAGCGCCTTGTTCTCAGCCCAGGCTTTGCGTAAGTAAAAATCACTTCGGCCCACCCCCCGCCCCCGCGTGGCCAGTGAGCCGCAGAGCCTGGGCAAGAAAGTAACTGCAAGGATTTTATTAACGAACAGCGGCGGCACTTGTGAAGAGTGCAGATGGGGTCACGCACCCAGGCAGGGCAACAGAGGGCGCCTCCGGTGCAGAACCCCGAGTCCTTCGGTGCGTCGCACAGCAGCAGGGTTCCAGCGCAGCCAGCGGAGACACGAGTTTGCACTGCTGTCTGCACTAGCAATCTGTGTGACAATTCGCGATTACAATAGTCCTGGAAGAGGGGAACTGCATCCTTCTGCCACTTCACTGTTGGCACCCGATTAAGATGCAAAAATTATCTTGAAAAGCTCCAACCGAGCAACCCGTTAAGTCAGTTTTAAGGGGGCCTGTCTGGGGTGAAAATCTGAAATGGAAAGCAACTCACATCATCCACTCTCCTGTCTTGGTAGGCAACGTCAGGGCGCTAGCCCTTCCCAGAATTCCTTGCTACGCTCGTTCCTAGGACTTCTGGGCCTTGTCCTTCGAGACCGGCTTGCTCCACTTCGCTTTTTAAGCCAAAAACAGACTAAAAACACCCCCTAGAGACCCGGAAGTAAATCTGGGGGGTGCTTTCTCAGTCTGCTCTAAAATGCTCCAGAGCAGGGAAAGTGAAAACCAGACCTGACACCCGAGCTTGCTGCAGGATTCTGGTACAGAAAGCCATCCTGAGCTTCATAATTAATTAAATGACATAACTGAGTTAGACGCAAAACACTACAAAGGAATGAGCTGGTTCAGTGCTTCACAGGCCAGGAGCCTGTGTGCAGAACAGACCCGTGTGCCACAAAACCAGAACTTCATGGGGTTTTTTCTTACAGCTACTGACATGTGAACAAGGTAGCCGAGAGATTCCTCAGACGAGCATGAGCGCCATCTCATCGGCATGCACAAAGACCGACAGCAAACCCACGCCGAGAGGTACAGATTCCTGGCCCCTCTCTCTCTCTCTCCCTCTCCTTGCCAGCACTTTGAAGGAGCTCCTCAGATTCGGCACAGGCTGTCGGAGAGAGAGAGGGTGAGAAGAGACTGTGTGGGAGACTTGAGAAACGGCAGGAATAACGACACCTTCCACAAGGCGGGCAAAGCAGCTGCGTGGGCGCAGAGCGTCAGCGCCACATCTGCGCCAGTCTGAGACAGCAGGCAGGACCCGGGAGGACCGGGCACGGCTTCCCGATTCCTAGCAAGCAATCTCCGGGAAGACGGGAAAGAAGTTCGTTCTGGGGGGGAGGATTCTGCCTTTTAAGTTGGAAACTCTTATCTGCTGCTCCTACAAGACAAAACAACTCTGCCTTCCTCCAGTAGCAATTGTAAGGCTCTTGTGAGGATATCATGATGTAAAATTAAATCCAAAATTCAACAAGCAGTAACAGGCAAGAGAGACCTTCTTATAGAGCAAAATAGCTTTCTCCAAGCCAGTATCGGTACCTAAATGCCAAGACAAACAGCACTCTTGTGTCCATTTCCACTACTTATCCAGATCCTGTTATTAACCTTGCTGCCTGGACGCCGCCTTATCTAGTACAGCTCAGCAGAACACAGCTGTGCGTGCATAAACATCAACGGTTTCTCACGCTGTTCGCTGTCCCTCCTCCGCTGACACCTGAAGGTCACCCACTTGTGCTGCTCAGCCACTCCAGACGCACGCCCTTGGGGAAAACTCCCCACTCAGCAGGGCACAGGCAAGGGAAAGTCTGAAGTACTGGACACCGCTGAATAGCTCGGAAGCAAACAAGCATTTTATGTAGCAACACAATTTGCCTGACTGCACTCATCTGCCCCATTCAGGAAATGACAGCAGCTCGTCAAGCGGAGAGCTTCTGACCACATATCTGTAATCAAGAAATGAAAGTGATGTTACTCATGCACAAGAGTTTTTATCATTTTCACACAATTTTCACTGTCACAGCAGACAGCCAGGAAGTGTGATTATGAAAAAAAAAAAAGGAGTGAAGATTTAATCATTTGATCTGTGTGGAGACAAGGTGTCAGGCTGCATCATGTTTTTGGATTTTCCCCAATTAACAGTTAATTATTAGGTAACGGTACAGTGGTACCTGATATCTGGCCAGGAGGAAGATAGTCAAGACCCATCTGGCCTTGCAGTGTCGAGATGGGGCCTCCAGCAAGCAGGATAGAGGAAAGAGTTCTGTGACATACAGCAGCTCTCGTTAACTCCCGTTCTCCGACAACAGCAAAACCTGTTTTTAGTCCAACTATTGTGTATCCTGGGTTCATATAAAAAACGCTTTACAATCACTTTCCAGCTCCCTCCCCCTCTACAAGTGCCAAACTACAGTAGATGTCATATCTGACTCGAGTAAAAGGATCATCCAGATCAGTGACAGTGCACATTTTTACATATTCACACGATTGCAGCATTTAAGAAGGGCAAGGGACATGCAGCACTAGGAGCCTAACTGTCAAGAGTGTAAGGGGTCAAGGGACAAAGGTCAAGACACTTCCCAGACTCCTTTTCCTTTGCCTTAGAAAGAAAAGTACAACACTGACAACAGCTAGTGTGGCAGGAGAACACTCAGCAGAGGTTAAAGAAAGCTACATATTATTTGCAGGGCTTAGCATCCACAAAGTAACAGGTTTTGCTTGTGGCATACAAATAAGCCACACAGAGCAAAAAAATTTTGAAGCCTCGCAGAACACACACCACAGAAGGCCTAGCGGGGGCTGATGTGTTTTATGCATCTGTACAGTTATCATCTCAAAACCAAAGATGTCACTGCTCAAGAAAGACCCAAATGATTGAACTGTACTCTTTGGAGCTTCTCACTACAACTCTAAAATGCTGTGCTGTTAGCTGCATCTATCACAAAGAGTTTCAGAATGTTACCAACAAGATGAAGGCGATTAGTCCACTCTGATTGTTCAGCTGTTATTGTATTGAACAGTGATGTCAACAAACCCCACAAGGCCTTTACTAAGCCTACTATAGAGACTTTGTCATGAGGATCAATAACTAGGACAGGCATGTCAGGACCAACCCTCCTTCTCCTTCCACCTCGTAACCTGAGGGCATGAAACAGTTCTGCTTAAATTCCCTCCCTCATTAAACATGTAGGATTGCTGGGATCACTCCTGCATTGAATGCTTAGTTCTGATGTCATCCACTTCCCTGATAACCATATTAAAGAACTGGATTTCAGCACTGCCTGTAAAAATAGCTGGAGCTGACATTACTCATGCAGCGCACCCACGTCAGAATTGCTCTGGAAACAGGAACGCTGAAAGCTCCTCATTATCAGACAGTGAAGGAGCTTGACAACTTTAAATTACACTCCAGTCTCAATTAAGCACTTTCATATATTAAAAAAAAAAGTAAAGGACTGCAGCCTGGATTACAGGAGGCAGCAACTAGCTTCTACTTAACTGTCTTGGAGAAATACATGCTCTTCTTTCTTTAAAGAAAAAAAGTAGCGCATGCTGATTAAGAGTGTGTCAAGTCCAGCAGCACTACAAAGGCCCAGCATTTCTTGCTCAGCACGAAATATATGGTTTGATTTACATCATCCTCACCAAGCTTTAGAAATCCACCACTTGAACACTTCATCAGGCTGCTTGGGAGTTTTCATCCTATACTCAAGGCCTGTTTGGAAGAAGAGTATATTATGAGATGGGGGAAATTCAATGACAATGACAAAATTCTTCTGTACAGTGGTGTTAAAACCAATCATATAAGTAGGTTTCTTTTGCATAGAAAATCAGCACACTTTGCATGTTGACACGCCCACACTTAAATCTACATTTAGAGACTCGACAGATTGGAATTAACCTGAGGTTCAGAGCCGTGCTTTAAAGCACAAGCATGCCCTGAAGATTCCCTTGCTGTCACATGTTGAACAGGAGGTAGAATTTGGGGAGTTAAGACAGCAGACTGGCACAGCTCCCAGCCTTCAGCCAAGTGGGAGAGCTCAAGAGTGACACAGCCACTCAGGCGGCAAACACAAGGGGAATATTAAGGAAGGAACGCTCTTCAGCCCTAGTCAGACGCCCTGTAAGTTGTTCTCCTGTATAAAACCGATACCTCTCAAAAGAACTACTCTTTTAGTCATTTACTAGGTTAAAAAAAATCCCTATATATTTTCCAATAAATCACAAACTTACCTCAACCTTATTTTGAGAGAGAAAGGAACTTCTTGGCCTGCTTCCTGCGGGCTGATCCTGAGGAGTTGAACTGGTAAGGCGAGCAGGCCATTCCTCAGACAGGAGTGCCGAGCCACGAGTGAACAGGGCGCCACAGGCCAACTTAGCTGTGGCAGAGGTCTCCATCCCGGCGGAAGGCACATGGCTTTAACAGACCACTAACAGACTCCACAGCCTGGATGAGAGTGGCAGCACCTTGGCCTGGACTAAGCTGCTCCTTGGGGAACTCTGCACAAACCACAACATTCCCATTCAAAGTATCAGACAGACACTTTTCTGCATTGTTCTCGTATGATTGCTTAGAAAGGACAATTTTAACGACCAGAGTAAAAGATAAGGATAGCATAATTGTGGGGTGATGATCAAAGCCGTTTTCTGTCTAATATGAGGTCATAACGTCCGAAAACCACTCCTCATTCTTCACCAGGATTTCACACGATTTTTTTTTCAGCTCTCTACCACGCAGAGCATTCAGCTCTTACTCTTCCCCAGTGCCACAGCTCAGAATGGAACTCGTCTCACTCGTTTGATGCAAATATAGAACTTGATGTAATCAAAACGGGGGGAAAAAAACCTTCGAGCAATACAAAACAAGACTTTATTAGACGTGAACATGAAAGAATAAATACATTCACATTTAATTTGTTTTGAGGAATCAGCCTCTCCTCTCCCAGTCCGTCCCCTCTCTCCTGGTACAGATCCCTAAAGGCAGTGTACCACTGATCTGGAACCGATGAATTAAGGTTACCTCTGGAACCTTGTTCTTGTTTCAGTACATTACATTGGAACAGTTACAATTATTTTAAACCGTCATCTGGAAAAAAAAATATGCACAAGGGAAAACAAAGCTTTCTTACATTCATATAGTGCTTCTCATCCCACAGCTCTTTAATATGCAGAAGGGCACCCCCACAGCAGCCCCACTGCACAGCAGATCAGGGGGAGGAGGAAATTAGTTCATAAGTTGGACTAAGGGGGAAATAAAACACAACAACGGGTCTTTTCTCTCCAAAACCAGCAGGATAATTCCAAACACGAGATGCCTGCCCAAGCCTCATCGCTTCACACTCTCCAGGAAAGCCTCTTGTGGAGTAAGAGCCTGGCTACAGGCTCCTTTCTTCAGAGTGTGACCCCAGCCTGGCCGCTGTGGGCCCTCAGGAGCCACAGTGGAGAGTGCTGTGCCTGGTGCGGGAAAACAAGCTCGGAGAGGGAAGACCGCTGGACCTGGAGAGGCATGACGAATCAGACCTCCTGGCTTCCTGGCACTGCCGTTAGGAAAGAGAAAGGAGTGCCCTGTCCTTTCTGTGCTGTCAGGCTTTGTTGATGTAGCCCTCCTTGATGAGGAAGTCGTAGATCTTGCGCGTCTTGTTGACGTCGATCTTGATGAGCGACCGGGCCTGCGCCAACCTCAGCCCACCCTGCCGCCGGCACTCGTTCATCAGGGCCGCCTTGTACTCCAGGTAGGCGCCAGGCACCAGGCGAACCACCTGGCAGAGCTGCAGCAGAACCAGAGCAGAGGTTTAACATCCATCACTCGCCCAGCTTTACAGCACAACCTAACCCAACACACAGCAGTTCACCGCCACATGTAGCACAGCACACTGTGCTGCAATCAAGGTATTCCTGCAAATTTCATTATTTCCAGAGTTCCAGATAAACAGACCAAGATTCTCAAGGACCAAATGCAGAAGAAGTTTGCATTATAACACAAAAAGCAAAACCTTATTGCTACCCAGATAAAAAAAGGGACCAGATTGCATAATCCATCAAGTCTCCACAGCAATTGATGACACTGCATTGCTAACGGCATCACCAGAGAAATTCAAGTATTTAATCTCTTTCTCAAACCAAATAAAGACAAGCCAGCCCTACAGCTTTTTCTCTTCACTGGCTTGATAACTTTTCTTCTTGTGCACAAAAATGAATGAAGCTGAGCCCCTTGGGTTTGTGATCCCTGAGTTACTGAAAAGCATTCAGTAGCTCACAATAGAAACTTCCCAAGGAAAAGCAAAGGCTGATCCAGCTGAAGAGCCTGGATCATTGAACAATTCCTGTTTGCAACTGCAGGTCTTTCTGATCTCTGAGCTAGCAGTGCCACAGCGCTCTGGAACCATGCTGCCCAAGCTGGAAACCCCCGAAAAGCTCAGTGCATCACAAGGATCCAAGATATGGGGAAAACGCTACCAAGAACATCACCATTGATCTGGTCTGATTTCCCCAGTATGATATCAGTCATTACTCTATGGACAATGGTTTTCTACAAGCAGCGATAGTGGGTTCTGTGCCTGTTCCTGCGGTGTCAATCTGTCAGCAACTGGAGAAACAGCCGACAGTCGCAGCCAAACCAAGCAGTCGAATGGGCAGATCTAATACATATTTCCAATCCCATGTATGTTTCACAAAATGTTGCTCTTCATCCACTATTGTGACATTCAGTGAACAGTAAAAGGACCCAGAAACACTTGAGGCACTAATTAGGTCAATTAATTTAGTCACCATTTATGGAGCCCAAGGATATTAATGGCCGTCTTTCTGGACCATTTAAATATGGACAATTTATAGCCCCTCTGCAGTTTTGTAAACCTCAGCTAAAAACCCCAACCCTCATACAGGGACAGACAATTGCAGGAAAAGCCACTTCACTTTTAGCCTCCCCGATATAAGACTGCACTACAGCACACATATTTCAACACATTGCAGCACATTTCTTTAAGACTGGGAAGAATCCTGCTACAGCCCCTGACCGTATACATACGATCAAGGCATTTGCGTCACCTTCAGCTCCAGCTGGGGAGGGTGGCCCTCCCTGCTGAGAGTTACCTCTTTCTCCTTGTCGTTCAGCTTGTCGGTCCCTGGCAGGCCAGTCAGGTTCAGAGGCGGAGCACTTCTTCTGCCTGATACTGGAGGAGAACAGCAGATTAGCACTGCAGTGCCAATGTCCCACTGCAAAAAACACTCCTTTCTGCTAGGTTAGCTTTTCTCTTGACTACTAGTTAGGATAAAGCATAAACAAACATGTTTCACTGCAAACAATGGGATTAGCACAGGAAAACTCTCCACTCAAACAGAGCTAAGAACTTCAGTCAACAGACAGAAAAACACAACCAGCAGCAAGAGTGAGCACAGAGACACAGAGGAAAGGGAAGGTGAGCTGGAGTCTGCACTTGTCCGGCGTTTCATGATGATGCATTTCCGAGAGCACTTCAGTATTAAATCCACTGTGCCAAAACTATTGACTTTGCACAGAGACAAGAGAGATAAGAGAGAACATGATGGAGTGATAACGAAAAGCAGCACCCTGCAGCCCTCACCTGAGGTGGCGATGGAGGAGACCACAGGATTCAGGCCGGCGTCGCTGGAAACAGAGCAAAGAGCTACACTGAGTTTACCACAGTGACAGTCTTCTCTCACCACTCCAGCATTAGGATCTGTACCAGCCTGCTGACATTTACTGTTTCATCTGGTCTCCACATGAGTTAGCTGCTCTGGAAAGACTGTGCAGAAGCGCAACCAGTTCCGGAGCTTAAAGGAACATCTGACCATGAAACTGAACCTTTTTACTCTCAGCCGGAGAGGAATCGGAGCAAACTTGATACAAGTCTTCAAAATCCTCAGAGGTACCATGCTGACATCTTCGATAACAACAGTGAAACACGAACCCGAGGTCACAATTGAAAACTACAGGGGTGTGCGTTTAAATCTTGAGAACAGGTAGCACTTCTTCACACAAGAGGTGGTGGGAGTCAGGAGCAAGCTAGAAAGCCATGTTAATGAGATAAACACTCTGGTTTATTATAAGACCAGTCTGGATAAGATCCTGGTATTAATTAGGAATAAATTAGCTACTCCTCCGATCTGTGATCTGTGTTGTGCTGTTGTGTTAGAGGAAGAAGAGTTAAGGTTAGTCATCTCACATAGCAGCCTGTTTGTGTAGCCACTGCTGGCAGGCATGACTGTCCTGGATGTACTGCAGCACGTCGGACAGCATGGTCCTCTTCCTGCGCTCCTCCTCTCGGATCTGCTTCACCCGCTCATAAATCCGGGCACCTGCAACGGACACACACACCAGGAGACAACAGTCAGACCAACTCGCACACAAGCACTCATGCCAGGAGACAGCCAGAAAAACGCGCAGATAAGCAAGCACAACAGGAGATTTTTATACTCTCTCCCGCAGTTACTGCTACATGACAAAGTTAAGTTAGTATTAACATTGTTATAGGTATCACATCATTATACAATGTAAGTCACAAAAATCAGAAAACCTTACAGGACCTGACTGCATCTATTTGACAGACAGATTGCCTTTTTTCCCCCCAAAAAAAGAATTATAAGAAATATTTTCTTATTTTAAAAAAAGGTGAAGATAAGAGAGCTGAACAGCGACTGACTTACTGCAGAAAGAGGTAATCCCCGCCTGCCGGTACTCCTGAAGTTTCCGGATCTCCCTTCTCAATTCAAACTCCACTGGAAGAAAATGCAAAACACAAAGCTTCAGGACTTGGGAGAAGGACCATGCAGCCCCCAGAGAATGAGGGCGCTGTCTTTGGCACACAGTGGTGACCAGGACATCCTGGCTGCTCTATAAACCGGACATGTGCTGGACACACTATCCCGTCTCCTCTTTCCGAATTTGGGCCTCTATGCATAGCCTGGAAGACCCAGGCATGGGCACAACCAAAACGACCTCAGGGTCATGACCTTTAACCCTGTGCTTTGGTCACTACTCGACAAAGTGCAGTAATACACAACCAGCACACACTCGATGTAAAAATGAAGGCGACAATACGTTTGCCCATTGTTGCACTTCACACCTGATGCAGACTCACAGGAACTCAGCTGGAGGTCTATGTCCAAAGCTTTTCAGGTGTGGACTCTGATGCCATGAGCTAAGACAAACACCCGAACCTCTCCTCTCAATTGAGGGTCAAATGTCAAAGACAAAGTGTGCCATGACTCACTGCAAATTCAATTCAGAAACTAAATAAGACAAGAAGTGAGAGGTGCAGAGTGTGAGTGCTTGTGTTAACGAGTTATTAGCAATGTGAGGACAGAATATGAGAATTTCCTCTCACAGACTCCCCAAAAGCATACAGCACCTGGATGCCTCCAGGAAGTGACTTTTTATAAACCAAATAGCACCTTCTTAGAATGTGACATGTTCCAAAAACACTTGTTTCAAGTCTATCTTCGCCTCATGTGGAGATGTTGCAGAGCCAATGGGAAGTCCTCACAGATCCGTGTACGCGTGCGTGTGGTGCGTGTGCGTGACTGGGGTTGGCGTGACCTCGGAAGGATGGACTCACACGCGTGGCTCTCGATAAACTTGTCGTGCTCGATCGGCCCCACCACCCGGGCGAAGCGCCGCATGGCGTCGTACAGGTCCTGCACCTCTTTAGGGTAGCGCCGCTCCAGCACTGCGACAGGAGACAGACGGGAGGAAAAAAAGACAATAACTCGGCCCGTCTGTCACTAGAGGAGACACCTTGCCTTCTCATCATGACACATCAGACCATTGCTGACCTGCTAATCCAGGCAGAAGTATGCAAAACAAAGTTTTCCAGATGAGAAGCCAGCTAAACAATCTAGCAAAAAGCCAGCAAGCAGCACAGAATTATTTTTGTGTGGCCTGGTGTCACATTTGCGATGCTGCCCCAAAGCTCATCACAGCTTGGCGTGACACCAGCTGTCTTCCCCATCAAACTTTACTCCCTTTGGCTTTGGGATGGTGCATGAAGATGCCCCTGTATAAAAAACACGAATAATGCATTAAATTAATTAATGCATTAACAGTGGATAATGAACTAAAAAAAAAAAGGTAGGTAATATAAACTGCAAATGTCACTGACAGGGAAATTCAAGACAAATGAGCTGAAGACGGAATGGAAAAAGATCAGAAAGGAGGTTTTATTCTGTGCTTTTTGAAAAAATAAAACCAGACTCCTGATAACACTCTGGGAGTGAAGTGGCTTGTGTGAATCGCACTCATTAGGAGTCAGAGCTCTGACAGGTCTGGCTCTCCTAACGGGCCTAGAGATCCAGGCAGCGAGAAGCTGCTGTCTCCTTCTTCAGATGCTCACTCACACACACACAGGCAGGCGTGCGCGTGCGTCCAACATTCTGCTGGTTTCCATAGCAACCGGGCTACAGTGCCAGTGCACCCCTTTTGATCCTTTTCAGTAAATGTGTACTCAAGAGCCGAGCAAAAACGCTGAAGAAAAAAAAATAAAACCAAAGAACTCTTCCCCAACCGCCACCCCCCACGCAGAAACCAAATCTATTCCAGCGTCAGCCAACCTGCGAGAAGGAGGAGTAGGTATTTTTAGACAAGACACAGTCTTTTGAGTTCGAAAAGAACTCGACTGGGGGCCAAGTCTGGCTCTGGGTTTTCAGACATGTGCACACAACCACTAAACTATCACCCCAATTAAAACAGGTGTCACTGGCACGAGCAACCACAGTGCTAATTTCCCCAAGCTGCCAAGAAATTAGCCACTGGAGCACCAGACCAACACATTTACATGACTGTGACACACGAGAGCTGTGGACACACAAATTCTATGTGGAACTGCTCCAGGTCCTTACTGAAGGTAAAATTTAAGAGTGCTAACGTGACAATGCCTGAACGTAAAAAACACCCCCCCCCCCCCACAACGAGGAAAGGATCACCTACTCTGGAACTTCCGCAGGCTGATCAAGCCGTGATCGCGGATTATCCTGTCAAAAACAGAGGGAACAAGACACGATGATGTCCAAATCTCACATCACACAGCTGTCAACATCAGATGTGCTTCTAACTGAACACCCGGGCTGTTCCAACAACCCACTGGGAAATAAGACGGCATCAGTTTGAGCCACTGAAGGTATCAGCAACTCTGTAACATTGTAGCGATATAACAATGGTCATGTATTTAATGTTGTTTGAACCATTATACATTTTACTATGCAAAATTTACCCAAAATTAAGAAATATGCAAATCACAATGTAAGGTGAGCTGGGAAAATGGGAAATAACTACAAAAAGAATTCAAATGTTCATTTTCTTTTGATTTTCCAGCACAGCTTAAGCGTGAGAAAGGCCCCTATATTAATACTTTTTCTGATATCTATAAACTTGCCTGCATTTCAAAATTAACAGGAGGTGTACCTGTCCTGTGGCGCCCCCTATCAGTTCCAGGCAATATGGAACTTAATTTTAACATCTAGTACAAAAACAGTCCCTCTGCATTGAAAAAAAACAACTCACTTTTTCCTGCGTTGCCTCTCCTTTAGTCTTGAGTGGTAAATATCAACAACTGCAATCTTCAGGGCTAGGAGAAAACATACGTATCGAGCAGTCAGTTTTGGAAACTATAATAAGTTTTAGCTTGCCATTTCTCGTAATATTATGAACACTGTATTTAGAACTAGGCGATCTTGTGCTGTACTGTATTCATTACTGTTGGAAAAAACTGCTGTAAAATTTACAATACATTATAAAATTCTTTGCAAATACTACTTTTTAAATGACTTTTGGACCTTTTCGTTGTCCAAATTAAGGATTCAATTCAATTCAATTAAGGTTTGTGCTGATGAAAGTGCTCCACAGCACACAGGAAACTGCTCTGCTGGCGAGACCTCCTGCATGCTGACCGAGTCCCTCAGCGCTCCTCGTCTCACCGTGCAGGATGTCCGAGTCATCTTCCACGAAATCGATGTCTCTCAAGTCCCATTCCGCATAGTTGTCAAACTCCTGTTGTGGAGGGGGGGGGGGGGGGGGGGGGACGAAAAATCTGAGCCAGAGACAAATACAGCACAGTATGGTACTTTGGGGTGGTGGGGGGGGGGGCTTTTCTGACTCTTATGGAGTGAAATGCTCATTTTTTCTTGATCTTACTGCTTTCTCCAAAGGCTCGTCAACACAGCAATTAGTATGGTAGGTCCCTGCTGTTGCAGGCACTCCCCTTTGAAAACCTAACCAGGTTGATGGGATGAATACAAACCACAGGGGTCCCCAACTACACGAGGGACTGTTGGAGTTAACATACTAACAGACAATAAACGGCGAGCCTTGCACGTGTTCTTAACGATAGCAGCCTTTCTACACCCATTCTTCTGCTTTCCACTCAATAGGAGACAGGACTCTGTGCTGGAGATCTGCTACCCGACCCGAGCCTGATGGGGCCTGACAAAGTATCGGGTTTCGGGGCGGTTTTTCACTTACAACTTTGGGCTCGGGAAGGGTTCAGGATTGTTTTCTAATAAGTGAAAATGATTTCTTATTTTATGTTTTCAATTTATTTTTTTTAGAAGAAATTCGTAACTCCTTTTGCACGCTCCCTCGTTCTCTCTTGTTCTCTTGTGCGTAACATATAATAACTGTGTGCTGGTGTGTTGGCTTGCATGACTGTATGACGCACAAGGTAGCTAAAACTAGCTATGCCTGCCTGCATATTCACTTTGCTCATAGCACAAGCTTTTTTAGTAGGCCTATTATGGTTATCAGACGTTCCCCACTTTCAAAAGAACTACAGATTTATAAAATACCAGTTTTTCCCAACTCAAGTGCATAGCAGCAAAGCAAAGCACTGTAAAACCGTGTCTGTGAGAAACCGTGTGCGCATGTGTGTCTCCTCGCTCCGAGAAGAAAACAGAGTGACCGATTCCGGGTTTGGGTTGGATTCGGGTTTCAAATTTGGCAGTACCATTCGGGCTCGGTCGGGTCTCAAGGTCTCGGGTACAGGCCGGGTTCAGGCTTCAATTTCATGCCTGTGCAGATCTCTACTCTGTGCGCGGACGCCTATTATTCTGTCACTTCTGGTAGCTGGTTACCAGGATCGGCCAGTGCTCTGGACCGAGCTGCGCTGGGCGGCCTCAGTCTCACCTCCACGAAGTCTGCTCTGGCGGGCATGTACCCCGCCATGTCCCTGGACAGCAGCGAGTCGAACGTGGGCCTGGGGGGGTCGTCTGTGGCTGAGAGGACACAAAAGTGGAACCGCTTTGAGAAAAGACTCCTGCTGCCTCAGATACTCCTTTCAGCCAAGCAGTGCTCTGTCTACTCAGTAGGTTCAGTGGGATTTTTTATCGCCTTTTTGGTCCGTGCAGTGCACCTGCTGCTAACGAAGCCATGAAAACAAGAGAAATGACAAAACTGCAATTCCTAATGATCTTTTTCCCTCCCTGTATGCAAACTGATTTGAATTCAAAACATCCACCTTTGCAAACGGAAAATACGATTTTGCTTTCAAAGCTTTTGGAGATGAGTGGATTATTTTATCTCGAAGCGCCCCATCAGATCTCACTGCAAACGAACGCTAGGTACAAGAGTGGATATGGGCGTGGGCTCACGTTTAAAGGGAATGGCCGTGTCTGCAGTCCGGGCTTCCTCCATCTGCCGCAGGCTGAGCAGGGTGGAGGAGAAGAGGGGGTTGTTGATGAAGTGCTTCATATAGTGGCTCTCGCACTCCTCCTTGCTCTTGGTGCGCATCTGATTAGCAACGTCCTGCCTGCAGGGAGACCAGGACCACTGCGTCAGACCCAAGAAGGGATCCCGCCCAGCACAACACTGGAGCGGTCGGATCCTGCAGCAACGCAGCGATCATGTCTTTCCATGCTCTCCAGCAAACCACAAACACATCAGCCGCAGTGAGCAGGACACTCTCCAGGTTTGTCCCATGACGTAAGCTTGTAATTTATATAAAGTTGGTATAGACATTACAGTAACCCCTTTAGATACTGGCTGGGATACAGGCAAGGCCAATGAGATTCACAGACCACATGGATGTCTGGCTCTCTTTAATAATCATTAGAGATGTGAGCAAAGACACTGGCCTTAATGATCAACAGTGCACCGTGTGCTTGAACGGTTTCTGATTGGCTGATTCTCATCAAAGGGTGGGTGACTGTTCCTCTGCTCTCTCCAGCTCCTATCTGAACTAATAAATGGCTGGCTGCTGGACTTGGTCACTAATAATTCAAACCAAAAGGAGCTACTCACCACTGTCACTATTAATTATCTATCCTTTTGTAATGTGCTGTCGACATCGTGTGCTGTTCTCTGTCATACTATGCTGTCAGCTGTACTGTTCATTTCAATGTACATGCACATATGGGAATAAACTCCTCTAATCTCTACTCACCAATTCCCAAAGCCACAGTCCATCACGGCCTCCAGGAGGGCCATCTCCTCTAGGGCTGTCCAGCTGGGGTCCAGCACAGGGAAATCTGACGTCTGTAGGAGAGGATACAAAACCTGCTAGAAGGGATACAGGAACTCATCCAGGTATGGTACACACATACAGGTTTACCCCTGTACACATAGGGGATGCAGTCCAGGTCACCATATAGCAAATAATGAATAACTAATTTTCTGTTCCAATAATTTTGTTATGAATCCATCTTGAGCCTGGGTGAGAAAACAGACTTGTCATTTAGCATCTTTAATCCACATTGATCCGAACTCAATGTCATCTATATAGGAGCAGCCAATATGAAGTGTTGTAGCAGCTCATCCATCACATTTACCCATCAAGTCTAAATGACCGATCAAGGGCGTCTTACTGTCTGCACTACAAAATACAGATCTGTCAGGATTGTTAGTTTTAAAGCAAAACAGATAGGTTTCTAAATAGAAGACCAACAGAATGAGTTTCTGCATAAAGAAGGAGAAATACTGAGTGAAAAGAACAAACCATGCAAAAGATGAATGAATTTTGCACAGCTTGCTTACTTTTTTACCCACTTTTGCTTACTGACAGCAATATGGGTAACATCTTAAACAGAACCTGCTAAAAGCAAGAAACTCTTCTTGCAAGCAATAGGCATTAACAGGAGAGATCTGGGAGAAGATCAAAGAAAACCACTGCTACATCTGCCTCAGGCAAAATCAGTCAGCACTTTCAGAGACCACTGGCTCCAACAGCCACTAAATTATAGCGTCAGTTTTCTTTTTAAAACAGTTTTCATTTCCAACCTCTAAGGACCTAATGTATATCATCTGCATATTCTGAAGTGTTGCCAGAATAAAGAGGACACTTTTGTGGAGTGGCATATTCTTACCATGATCTCATACTTGTGGTCACTCAGGTGCTTTTTGTACTCAAAGCCTCTGGTGAAACACTGAAAAAGACAAAAGCATTTTCTTGTTACACTGGTGAAACCACTTCATAATTTACTCCTTAAAGCATCTTCTCAGAAACGAGACAAACTGCATTGCCTCACAACTGGGTCCCTGGAGGTGCAGTCCTCCTCCCAGTGTAATTTTCCTTTTGTGAATTTGTGAAGTTCAATTAGTGTTTCACGCTTCAGCACAATGCTCTGCTGTTATAAATTGAGATAAACATAAAGTGGATACAACTGTCAACCAAATTAATAATAATGTCCTTACGGTTCAAAAAAGAGTAAAATATTTGTAAGCAATCATTTGCCTGGTTAAATATCGCAAAACAACAGCACTGGTAGTTCATCACAAATAACAAATCACAAAACTTATATTAACAGGTGGAGGAAATTAAAAGATACTTAAGCATATTTGAAGATTAAAGCTTAAAATCATATTCATATTCTGCTTCAGAAATTTCAATCCAACGGGAGCCTTGTAAGTGTCCCTAGTAGAGGAGAATGCAATAATTTTGGGGTCCTGTCGTGTGGCCGCTCACTGACGGGACAGACCTGAAGGCACAGCAGGAAGGCTGTGGGGCCGCACTCCGCGCACTTGATGTAGGGCTCAGTCAGGTAGGACGAACAGCCCCTGCACGGCGGCTTGTCAAAAAGGTCATCTGCAAAACGCAAAAAGCATAATTATTTCCAGCCTTAAGAACCTAGACCAGAGAGAAAACACACACGAATCTGTATACAACATCCAGCTCCACACAAACAAGCAAGCCTGTGCATAACAAGCGTTCTGCACTCGGTACTTCAAACTACCCTCGCCTGAAGTACAAAGGATAAATCACAAATACCACAACATTTAAATATAGTTATCCCAATGCAGGTTTTTCTAAAGCTAGCACTGTTTACGTCTGCAGTCACAACACGTTATTAGTTCTAGTACAAGAGACTGGTTGTCGGTCAGTACTTGTGGTTATCGTTTGCATTTATTCCTTTCTACGTCTCCAAAAGCAACTCTGTAGAACTTAAAACTTGGCACTTACTTCCAAACGGCGCTAATCTGTCCATGCTGCCGGCTTTTGGTTAACACGGCAGACTTTGTTTTAACAATGTGAGCGACCACTTCTCCCGTGCCAAGGCCGAATGAATGGAGCAACAGAGCAGCAGACCCGAAGAATCAAACTCAGCTGTAGAACAATGAGAAATTACCGACAGCGACCTCTATCGGAACCAGAGACGCTGGCGGAAAAATAGATGTTATAATAAAACAGATTACATGCAGACAAACCGTAAAACCACGACTCAAAGCCTTTTAATGGTGTGTACCCTTCAAAATCTTAAATCACGTTTTAGCACTTGATACAAAAAGTTGATAAAAAAAATTACCAACTGGTAAGCAAATCAAATATGAGTAGTTATGTTTAATATTTCATTACTGCATGAACTAGAATTGCTGTTGATGTGATTTGTCAGTTGTTCACTTGCCTGGTTTAATACTGAATGACCTTAAGGTGGGCAGACGGAATGAAGATTAATGTTGTGCATGCCACCGTGCAACAGAGCAGACAAGAATAAAGTACAGCTGATACGTTTGTCATTCCTTTATTAAGAAAATACAAACACCCACAAATGAGAAAAGGTCATTTGCTTCATCCAGTCCATTTGGCAGCTGTTAATCGATCTAAGGATCTCAACCTGCCGTATCTTTTTATAACATCAATATAACATTGAGAATCAAAAGATACAGCAGCTTGATGTAGGGCATCAGGATCTACAACGTGTCCCTTACTCCCACAGTGTTACCCTTTGGGTAAATAAGTGCCTCTAGTTCTCAGTTTAAAATGCACTTCAACACAGATTCTACTGGTTCATGTTGCACTGTTCATTCTGAAGAGGAGTGCTGGAGGGCGTTTGACAATGCCTTTAAGGATTTTAAATACTGGGATCAGGCCTCTCATAGTCTTCTCTATGCTAGACTGACAAGGCTCAGTGTTTTCAGCCTGTCAGGGTAGGATATTGACTTAAACCCTGCCATGTATCCGGTTTCTCTTCTCTGGACTGATTCCAGAGCAGCAATATCTCTGGACTGGAGGAGTGATGAAAGTTGGGTAACAAATTGTGGACCACATCACTCTCCTCCTTCAAAACCCATGGTCAAGTCATGGATGTTTCCTTAAACTGTTTAAACAATATGTCATAAATACATACATACAAAAATTGAAATGGTTTGCTTTTGAAAAGTACTGTAAATAACTAGATATTGAATAACAAACCTACACTATTTGCGGACTGTTCTGCACACGGATTTTAACATTTCAAAATAGCAACATCTGTTCGACTAAATATTTATTCGACTAAATATTTAAGTATAACTGTAAATAAACACTGTCCTATAGGCAGTCCGCCCACAGCCATTCTGGAGGTATTCCTAGTTCTGAGCAGTAGTTTCTTTTCATGGCTAGACCACAGCACTGTTGTGCCCCTTTGTGTTGTCAATTCAATTACCAAGATACAGCCACTTGGTCATTCAGTTGTGTGGATGCAAACAGGACACTTGTCTGCAAAAGACAGCACTAATGTCATTAAGTCATGCATTATATACTGTAGGTAAAATATTGCACAGGCCACCAGCTTTCAATTACCAGTTTACATAGAAAAAAGCAAGTGTAGAATACACTTACTCAGCATCATGATAAGAGACGTTTATTGTGCCTTTAGGAGCATGTAAGTTAGCTAAAAAGTCAGAGGTGAATGGCAGGGGACAATGAAAAAAGAGAAAGCAAGATGCACTGATTCGCTTCCTCGTTTGCAACCTTTTTTATGTCCATGCTATCCAACGGTGCAATTAGACCACATACTGTATGTTGCAAAAGTTCAAGTTAAATTTTAAGAGTTCAGGAATAAAACACATTTAATCCAACACTTTCCTTCATACGGGTACATTTGTAAAAACATAACCCCAAGAACTGCTACACAATTCTAACTTCCACATGCAGAACAATTTCTAAAATTTCTTCAGGCCTTTTCTGATGACGCATGATACAGTGCAGTACTGATACAGTGCAAATCTAGATTCTAACCATAGAGATTTCAAGCCATCTAGCCTACAAGGCTCTGCCTGTTATCTGTGTAAAGCTTGGGAATCCCAAAAGTGTTTCAGATGGTATGGTTTGTGGTCAGGCTGAATCCCAACACACCTCTTCTTTAGCTCTTCATAGCAGGCTGTGCAAGACAGGTCTTGTACACTTACAGTCAGTTATGGGCACATTCATTGCTTCTGAAAGACATCCACCTCTGAAAAGCATAAATTATATACTTATTAATTGGCAAAAAATTACACCTAGCTGGTGTTAGGCGCAAAAAGCTTAAATACTCTGAATCTGTCGACACTGATTACTTGTCTTCTTACAGAACCACCATCACATTTGGAATTTGGAATTGCCCAATGTAAACCAGTTTGAGACCGCATTCTCAGCCTCCTTTACAGCAAGCCTTCCTCTGAAATATACAATGTTGAGCTATCTGCCATTTCCAGTCTGTGTTTCACAGGGCCTGAATCACTACTATTTTCCAAAGCAGGGCTCTTGCATCTCTCAGTGATAACACCGGCCAGGAAAGTGTGGCCGGCGGCATCTGGCCAGTTGTGTGCCACCAGCTCGTGCCACAGCCCAGACTCAAGCCAGAGATGACAGTTGTGACCCTGAGTTCCACTCCAGTTAAAATTCAGGTTTTTGAAAACACAAGCAAACTGCAAAGCAGATGCACAAAGCAGATGGCTAATGCCACTTGCTTTGTAAAAAGACACTGAGGTAAATGAGGAACACACGTTGTCTGCATTAAAAGAAATGAGTGTAAATGTAACCTTGGTAATTAGCACCGGTTAACTCTAAGTTTGGTTTCCTCATTCTCATTTCATTGAAGGCAGAAGCCATTTCATTGCAGAGACAATCCTACTTGGGAGTATCAGTTTGCAGTGAGAGAGTGAGAGGTGACAGGTAGAAGGATCCGGTCTGACACTCTCAGGGATTCCTGAGGGTTTGTCTTTCACATGAGTGTTTTTTGGGCAGGCTAACTTTATAATGAGGCCATCGGGCACAGCTGAGGGGATAAATCAAATTTGGTGACAAGGATACAAAAAGAGATGGGAATGAGAAAAACCACCTCAGAGGTGGGAAGGTGGATATCTTGCCTTCAGACTCCAAACTGGGCAACTGAGACTAAGTGAGGAGTGTGTCTCTTTCTGTAAACGCAGATGACAATAAACAACTCACATATATTCCGTATGGTTTGGGTAGGCCTCACTCCCATAATCCACCACTCTGTTAATGCCATATGGGTCATCCACGCACTGGACAGGGACCTGCAGGGCAGATTGACTACTTGTTATTTTATTACATTTTTCCTTAATTTTAGTTTTTACAAGCCACCATATTTCCAGAATCTTCTGTGCTTTTTCCCCCCCACATTCTCACGTTGGCAAAAGTGGAATTGCTTTCTTCAGCATTCAGACACAACCTTTTATTTATTACAGTTGCTGTAGGTTCATTTGGGCTAACCCCAGTATTAACCTGTTTTCTGTGTCAGTATACTGAGATACAAATTAGGGTTTAGCTTGTATCGCTGAGAGAATGACATTCTTACAACAGGGTTTTGTGGACACCCATCCCCAGAATGACCCACGCAGCTGCTACAAGAATAAAGGGGTGGAGAGAGGGATGGAAAACTATAAACATGGGTTATGGACTACGAACAAGGTGTTTGTTACAAAAAAAATATACTTGGTGTGGTGTAACCAAAAATTTAGCCCTTATAAAACTTCAGTTCAAAACTCTATTTAGCAGCTTTTAAAATGGACTTTTAAAACATTAATGCAATCAGAAATATTATTATTCTTGCATATTATACCATGCTGAGATGAACAATCAATTTAGTCAATAGTCAATTAATAATTAAAATGTGTCACAATAAATAAAAATGAAAAGTCTATATTTGAACCGTTTTAAATGTGCAGCCTGTCCCTGAATGACCAACAACTGAAATGCGCGTTTGTTTCTACTGAATTACAAGACTTCAATTCAGATATCCAGAACAACGATCCCATTCATTACCTATAAATTCTATATAATGAGTAAATTCTCTGAAGTTAGTCGTTAACTTAACAAACACCTTAGAGGATTAAAGCTGCTTGAAAGACAACTTCTGAGAAACACTACAACATGCACACAACTGATGTCTGCCAAGGTGAACAATAATCCAGCGTGCCCTAAATATAGCCTTGAGCTGTCCGTTATATAAGACTTAAGGAGTCTGGAGATAAACTCCTTAAGCAATTCAACATACAGTGTCAAAGCAAGTTATTCAATAAAATCCCTGACTTGTAAATGTACAGTAAATGTCCGACCAGCCTTCATCAGGAGATGCTTTCCATACCTTTGGAGGACTGTATACCTGTCCAGGAATATCCTCAATAATTGGAATCGCCATCTTAATAAAGTCAACAAGAAAGTGCTTCCCCCTCTCCAGTGACGTGGAACACAAAGCGCAAATACAGTTCCAAAACTTTATTCTCTTTTTGATCTTACAAGCAAGAAAACCGTTGTGGGTGTTTTTTAAAACACTGCCGGAGTTGTTTTTCCTCCTAAATAAAGGAAATGACGAATGAAGATGTTCTTTTTTCGCGCCGAAATTCACCAAACATAAGGCGGAAGAGAAGGGTGTCTTCTCGACTAGCTGGCTAAGCACAGTGTTGTACAACCAGCTTGAGTTCCACAGCAGTGACTCACGTTTCCTTGCCTGCAACCTACTCTGCCGATCGGACGATTTTAATGTCAAAATAAAAATATAGAAATATATTTTTATGACCATCTATGTGTAGTTTAATATAGTTAATAGGAAAATCAAAGGATTTATACTTTTGCCCACATGATCAATTACACACTGTAGGAACTATCTGGAAAAGGTTGATATTTTCCACTTTGGAGTCCTGCCTCAGAATTTCACATTCTGTTCAGAAGAGAAAAAAAACCTGTAAAATTATGAGCATTCTTTAATTCTAATTTGAATTGTATTTAAAAAAAAGTTGTCACTTACCCATTTCTATAACTAGAAGTCCAGCTGTCTGAGATGTGTCCTTCTCAGCTCCCAGTGACTCAAAAGACTGCAAACAGAACACAAATGGAAATGAAATGAAGATGATATGTGGGCTCTCCCACACATTGAATTATCTGACATATCCAGACTTTCTGGGGAGTTTAAGACATATAATTACTCATACATATGTAATTAGCCAGAGGTCTGGACAAGGTCCCAACTCAAACATGACATAGATGGGTGTTAACCAATGTTTTAAGTCCTGTACAAAGTTAAAATTTCCAAATCCAAAAGCTAAACGGTTATCTCAACGACTGAGATAAAAGTACACAGAAATACAGGAAAAGTACACTTTTAGCCTGAATAAGGATTTTCTTTCACAAAACATTCTGAATTGTAATTCCCATTTTGGACAAAATGCTGCATGACAGAGTTCCAAAGGACAGACTGCACACAGTTAAATGATTTCTATAACTACAGTTCTGAACATTGGCTAAATGCATTTCACATGTATGGAAATGATTCTCTTGACAAATACTCCAAATTGTTGTCTACACATTAAGTCTGTATTCCAAAGTAATTAAAAAGGATTGTTTGCACACTGTAGCACTTAAACATAATACAAAATTGCTCTTACATAATTTGCAAAAGGTGGCCAGAAGTCTGACGTGTAGGAATATTGCTTTACTTTGGTCACAATGCAGGATCACTAGAACAATCAAGGAGCTAGTTACACTAAAATACTGCAGCTACGTGGACTGGAAAAGTTGCAGCTAGGGAAGAGACCATGTGAAGAAAACACACAGTTGCACCACATTGGTATGGAATTGAATTACTGAGAGATTCCTGGTGCAGTGTACATAGATGTCACAGTACAGAGATTAACCATAACAAGACAAATTGCTGTATTATCCAGAATGACCACCAGGGGAGGATGTTGTTCCATGGAGAAGGAACAGGCCAGTAGGAACACAACATAAAGCTCTGCTTTGGACTGAGCTGATGGACTGGAGCCATACACCCCACCATCTGGATTTACCAGACTGGAGTACGCCCAGTAACCTTTTCTCAATTTGCAAAGACAATATCTTTTCTAACAACAGAAAAACAAGGCATGGTAGGGAATCTGCTGTTGCATTAATTGGAAACAGCCAACTGAGAATGATCAACAGGGCAGAAAGCAACTTTGAATATGTTTCTCCTGCTGTGATAATACTGCATTTCAGCAATTATGAAAAGCTAGACAATGACTACCTGCATCTTGCATTATTATGTATTTAACAGTTTACAAAAATTAAAGAGCAATAAAGCACAGATAAATATTTTAGCCTCATTCTTAATAATATCAAGATCGCCTGAGACCCTGGCACATTTGTATATGTCTCCCTGAAGTACTGGAAAAAAACTTCGCTTTTTGACTCAAATGGTTTTCTCTTTTTGTTCTAGGATGAGTAAACACAAGTTTGACATCAAAATTATTTTTTCATCAAAAATGTTCATCATTGACCTGATCCCAGTTCCTTTCCACACTGCCAAAATTAAAACCTAAATAAAAGGAAGTGGGAAATTCTGGAAATCTAATTCTATAGTTGACTACTTAACAAATACAGAATTTTACACTTTTGATACCATTTCAGTTTCTTTGTATCAATTTGAAATAAGAAAATGGAAGTCCTCTGAGATCCATTGTTCATCTCTCTGGGCTCATTTCTGTTGTCTTTTATGAGTTTTCTAAATGGTCATGCATATTCATGTGTCATGTCAGACAAGACTACTCTGCTATGAAGTGTGCATATGTTGAGGTTAACAGGAGGCGAAGTGACTTCATTACAGAGCGCTAATCCCCACAAGGCTGCTGAAATAAGGCTGCTGGCTGTCGGCCTGCGAGGAACACAAAGGCAGACAATGGAGTGACAAGCTGCAGGGATCCCAGGAGCGACACAGGCCTGGGGACGGACTGGCGATCTCTGGAGAGCCACTGCCGAGCAGCAAGGAGAGCCTGGGGGGGTCTGGATGCAGTGATTTAAAAAGAAAGGGGGCAGCTGCAAGGGGGGGCATGTCAAAGCCCTTGGTGCTGATGGACTAGATCAGGGAGGCAGGAGTCTGTGGAATTACGGTATATTATTGGAAGGGGTCGCTCCCTCATTATGTTTTGCTTTACTTGACTCCCTGTAACTCTCTGGAAATCTACTGGTCCCTTTTAAGATTTTTCCTCACCTCAGGACAGTGCAACTCTTTGTTGTGATAGCACTTGCACCATCAGAGTCATTAATCAGTGGATTCCCTTTGTTTTACATAAAGGTGTATTTTTTGTTTAAGAAGGTGTATGTGTAAGAGTAAGATTAAAACTGTCCAATATTTCCCACAGTGTAATAACAGCAATAACAGGCCAACAGTTTACATCTACTGCTGTACTAAGTCCTATACATGCCTGATCTGTCTCAGACTTGTAAACCTGATAGAAGAGTTGTGTCCTGAATTCTCAGAAGACAATTCCCAATGCAGTCTAATTCCCTGAACCGTTATACAGCACGTGTCATGCACAGTACATGAAAGGACAAGAAGTTAACACACTGAATATTAAGCTAAATGAATGTGAGGAATATACACTTTGATAAAGAAATCTATGCTTATCTTACACACGCATTAAATATTCTTAAGTCCTTGCTTTTAGGGCACAGCCTGCTAGACTGCAGACTGCCTCTGAGTGTTGCTTAGAGGAGCACATCGCCATTATTCTGACAGAAACAGACAGCAGGTTCAAAAACAGCCCTGTCACAGCTCAGGGTCTGCAGCCAATCTTACAGGATCAATGACTTCTTAAAGGGGGCAGAAGGCTAATCCATAAGTGTGCCAGGTTCAGTGCTTGCCAACAATGACCAGCTCTCCCAGCTGCTGTTTCATACAAAAGTATGAATTGGCAGCCACATGTCCCAGCACCACTGTGTGAAAGGGTTAAACTCCACTCAGTGGACAAGGCCTGTTAAAGAGAGGATGGAGGATGAGGGGTGGAAAGATTGTAATCGTTGGGCAATGGACCATCCAAGAATCTGAGGAAACAGAAGAAAATTCTATTCTGCCCTCATGTGCTTCATTCATTGATCATCATTATTTCACATGAGTCTGGTCCTGTATTTGCGATCTCTTACAGCACTCAATAACGATGAAAGCCATTCACGTCTTCTGGCTGATACTGCCTGGGCTCTGGGCTATTCCACACAGCCATAGAAGCAATGAACAGGAATGAAGCATTTGCACATTCAAAGGGTTTAAACTGAAAGCATTGAATCATTCCTGTGCAAAGAAGCTTTGTATCGTCACAAGAAAAAAACAACTCAGTGACAAGCCTGTTTTCTCCATAACTTGATTAAATTAAAACTAATCACGATACCCCCTTTATGTTGTCTCTGGTTAAGATTTGTAACTTTATGCAGTGACAACTAGTTCTAGAAAGTGGTGTGTGAGTGTTTTGGGGAGGATTTCTTCTGAAATTGCAGAAAGTTTCTCCACTGCATGTACTCAGGAGAGCTACAGCGAGACCCCAAGCATGCACTGGGAAAGAGTGGACAACTGACTCCACCAGAGGGCATAGCATTCCACTGTTCTCCTCTGTACCTTTATTTTAACACAACTGCACATTCCCTGCGACAGAGGCAGAACATGGGCACAGTGCACCTATCAGTCAGAGAGGCTCATTAATAACTATTCCATGAATTGCTTTCACTGTGCACGTTCCTCCCGGCACAACCTAGCTCATCATAATGGAGAGCTGATCTGCACACATCCCTTCGAATCCGACAATGTTACAGCTGCAGAACCTTCTTTCAGCCACATCTCAACGCTCCAATTCTCACAGAAATTTTTAATCTACTTGAATTCCAATTGTTGAGACTATCTGGTTGGCTTACCATAGGGACATAGTTTTGTTCTCAGGGCAATAAAAAACATTGGACCTGACTGACAGTGGAGCTTGGGAGTGGGCTGGCAAGTGGTATAGTAGACTCACAGACCTTAGAATAACCCATGGGATATGCATTCATCACACTCCCAGTGCTCTGCAGACTACAGTAAATCTCTCTCCCACTTTCTCATACAACTGTATTACTCACTTCTGGGAGAGTAACATAATGAATGAGCCTGTTTGTGAATTCCGAGAGTCCCAACTCACCCACCTCCCAGGCAGATCTGCTGCATGTTCACATATTTATGGAAGCACTTCATTTCCAAGAGAAGGGAATCAGGCATTTGCTGAGCAACATTACTCTGCATCTCAGATGAAAAAAAGCTGCATTTCTCTTTCATTTATTAAGAATGACTTAATGTGTGATTTTTCATTGGGGAGGTCAGTGGTTAATGGTCTGCTCTACCCCAGAGCGGTGAGAAATGCACAGGCTCTTATCCCTCCCTGCCAGCTTCACTTCCAGGGGCCGATGTGAATGATACGGGGGTGGCAGCCAGCTGAGAACAGAGAAAAATGACATGATCTCAGAAATGTTACAGCAGAATAGCTTGACTCTACAATACAACAGCTCTCCTTGTAGCTCGTGCTAAAACAAGAACAGTGTACAAGGAGAAACTGGTGGAGATTTGCACAGATGTTTACAGTAAAAAGAGCAATTTTATTTCATGGGGAAGGGAGGCTGTAATCACCATATGAAGACACATATGCTAATTACCCACAATACACTGCATTAATGAGTTTTATGCATATTGACAAGTTGGCAAAGTACCCCAAGCTATCAGCTTCTTATATTGCCATGCACAAAAGCACTTTAAATATTACTTTACTTTTTCCTTTTCTTATTGATTTTATATTTGATTAAACTCCAGTGGTGCTGCCAAGTCACCGTTTAAAGTCTGGGTTTTTCTAATTAATTAAGCCACCTGCCTCCATCTGGCTGCTGGTTCTAATGAATACTGAGATGCTTGCTAATGAGCATCTCCGAGTGGGATGAATGTGCATGCAGGCGAAAGCAAGAGCTGTCTCCCTCTCCCCTCAGCACATCTGGATTAGAATCCATTCCTAATATTGCACCGCAGAGCTGTTTCACCCATGGCTGTCTGTCAGCTCATAACACAAAGTATTAGCAATAGTCACTTCCTCTATAAAACCACCTATGACAATTTAACAGGCTGGGTAATTGCTTGTCAGAGGTCCAGATTTAGCTCGGACAGGAATGTATGGAAAGTGGAGGTCCTGTATTGAGTTTGACAAAGTTAAGAAAAGCCATGGTTCAGGAAGCATTCCTTAAAAAACATAGGTCTGCAATAATTATATGGAAATAGAAAATAACTCTAAAAACCAACTTAAAATAAAGCGAGCCATTGAATTACACAAACCCAGTGGATGTACAGTGAGATTATTTTGACGAGTGTATAAATTTGTTCATGCATTTTGTACTCTTATTACACGCATGGAAGAGCAATAATGGATCTTGCTTATCAACAGTGCATTATAAAAACAGCAGAAGAGCTTGGTACATCTCAGCACAAATTGGCTGGGTCTGCCGTTGGAAGGGACTGTCAATGATAGAGTAATGGAACAAGCTGTCCATCCAAGCTGCCAAAGAGTACCCAGGCTTCTCTGAAGAAACGGCTTAATGAGATCCTACACTGAGAACAGGAGGTACTTCTTTACACACAGGCTTGTGAGTGACTGTAACAAGCAGCCCAGCCAGGTTGTTGAAGCCAGTACCAAGAATCAGCAGAAGCAGATCATCGGGTCAGCTAGCTACTAATTACCAAATGTTGTAGATGTGTTAGTCTTATTAGTATTATCTTCTATGTTCTGAACAACAAAGTAAGCTATTCCGCTCTGTTTTGCAATTTGCCATTGCAATGGTTTCTGAAAAACTCAGGTAGTCTGAAAATACAGCACTCGCAGCCAGCAACATCGCTGCCCGAGCAATACTGAAAAGTGTATAGTGAAAAAGCAACATGCAGTAGTAGTGTGGGGAAAGGACAGGGATCTGTTCTCTCATTAAAGACCAAAAAAGGTTAATGGTAATAAACAGGAGTGGCAGACAAATAGAAACAAAATTAAAAAAATCTTTCTCCTCCATTATCCCTTGTGCCCAGTGGAGGTGAGGAAGCAAGAATGGCAGTTCTACGATAACTGTGTCATCGTCTCCATGCTGCCTGGCTGCCCCCAGGCCACAGGGCTGCGACGGTGAGCGCTGGGGAGGATACTAGAGAGGATGAAGGATGTGACAGGCTGATGGATAGTGGCTATAACTACTGGGGCTCAGCTCATACGGTCCCTGAGTGGGAGAGGAGAGCAAGAAAGGAGAAACAGGGATAAACGGATATACATGTTTCCTTAAAAAAGGATTTTTAACAATTTAAGCATTAGTTAATTTTCCCTGAGTGAGACAAACACGGCCTGAAGTTGAGATCTTGCAGAAACGAAACACCTGAAAGTACCTGAGAAGAGGTGCACTCATTCTCCGGCAGCACAAGATGCCACTTCCAACTTTCTGCAAGGCTGACACGACCACTTGTATTCGCAACTTCTGAAACCACCCGTGAAACAGACAGATCTGCCCGTTTGTTTGTAGGACCTGGGAAGGGCAAAGGGTTGGAGAGAGAGATGGCGATGGTGAGTGAGAGGGAGAAGCAATGCCTGGTATGTGCCACTGGCAAAAGGAAATCCAGAGATTTGTGCCCCCAAGACAGGGCTGCACAAGGACAATGGAGTACCGTGTGAACATTGCAGTGTTTCCTCTGTCTCTCTCACAGCAGAATTGGCCTGCAATAACACTGTCAGACGGGATTACAGCCCAGCCCATCATAGAGAAAGATTCTCATGAGACTCTCAGCTCTCTCTCACACAGGTGGGGGCTACGCAGGTTCACCCCCCTTCATAAAAGACTAAATACCCCAGTGCCCTAAAATGGAGGATGCCATGACTCAGTGAAGTTCCCACACCAGGAATGTTACAAGATCAAGGCTAAAGAAGCAGCTCCTGCAGCATCGATAACATTAATTTTAGATTTAACTCACCCTTACAAATTAGATTAATTCTGAATATGAAGACAAAGCACATGTATTAATGTGGCAGCCAGGGTGCAGCAGAGGTTTGCAGTACATCTGTGGTCATGATAATCAGTTTGTCCAAATAGGCAGGAAAAAAACAAATTAACCCCATTGATGAAAGACATGGGAAATGACAAGTGTACTTTCCATACTGAACTACAACCTCTGGTTTAGGAAGGAATATTTGCCAACCGCCTGCTTTCAGGAGACCATATGGGTCAGAGGTGGGTTCAGAACAGAATCAGAAAGCGTGCATGAAAAGCACACAAACGCCAGTGATTCAAGATTATTGTTTTCAATTGTACAATGGAAATAATTAATTCTCCATTTGCAGACAGTAGGCATTCAAGGTAAAACATGTATTTGGACTACAAACTGGTAAATGGTTAGGAAGAGAGGTTTAAGAAAAGGAGTGACTGATGGAATCTGGTTGCTGGAATCATTGCAGTTCACCACAGACCTGTACTGGAACCACTACTCTCCCTAATTTATATTAATGAACAGGATTCTCGTATAGTCAATTTGCAGATTATACCCGGCTAGAAGAGAGTTGCAAAACATATAAAAAGGGAAAACAAATATAGCTGGAAACATACAGTACAGCTGACCTTTAAACACACACAAGATCTGTGTGTTTCATACAGATTGCAAAAACAAATGACAAATACAGTATTTAAATGGAGATAAACACAGAGCTGTAAAGGCTACATATAAAAAAAGACTTAGATGTCTATGTTGACACATCATTTACACCTCTATACAATAAAAAATAAAAGGTAAACAAAGTTGAGATATGTAGTTCAAAGAACATTTCAATCAGTCAATACTACTGTATGTAGACAACAGTTAGAATACCATATACAACTGTGGTCACCAAACGCCAGAAGGATACTGCCACTCTGGAACCCATGACAGACATGACAGGAGGCAAAGTGTGATCCCGTCTGTTAGCAGTCACGTCCCCATGAAGAGTCGCACAGTATGCAGTGTATGGGCTTTGTACAGAGGGAGGAAAGTGAGACTGTGTGCTGTCTCACTTTCCACTTTAATCACTTTTGTCTCACTGTGTGCTGCTGTAATTAAATGTAGACTTTTTCTGTCAAGTAATTTGAGACATTTTGTAATTATTATATAAAGGAAGTTAAAATTAACTGATTAAGACAGACTGATAAGGGAATCGATCCATAATTATAGTCTGACAGCCATGTCTGTCACAGCGCTGCGTAGATGCAATCAGAAATAGATTTGCGGAATTGAGTGACAGCGAACAGCTCCCCTGCCCCACTCGACACAGCCGACCGTGACAAAACTTTCCATTGTTTTTATCCCGGAGACCGACAATCAGCACAAGGAAAAAAGAAAACATGTCCTGCCCTGAGAAATGAAAACATTCTCTCTGACAGCTTAACAATATAAAGACGAACGGGTCTGTTGATCCTTGTCTGGTGAACTCTTCTCTTGCCCTGTGTTTCTCTTTTGCCAAAATCCAAAACTGGTTTGTAGCTCAAATGCTTACTGAGGTGTGGCTTTAAGATCACAAACTGGATTTTTACAATGAAACAAAATGTTAACCTTGCTAGAGGATTTAATCTATTGATATAACCTAAAAATGAGCTCCAATCAAACCTCAAGTAAAATAGTTTTGGAGTCAGAAAAGGTTTTCCTCCTGAAATATTCATAACGCTCATACACACAATACTCTGCACTGCTCCCAGGAGTTTAATTTGCTTGGTTTTGCCAGTACAAAGGCGCATGAAGAAAGGATAGAAAGTTTAGGCTTTTAAAAAGGAATATTCAGCGCAATCAATTTTTCAGACTTTTATAAAAATGCTCAAATCTAAAAGTCATTTAACAACACAAACCTCTTACACCATTACACTGGTGCATGTAAAAATACAGAACTACAGAAATCAATCCTAGAGACATATCACAACAGCTTGACATGGTCAGTGAGAAAGGGTATGAATTTGAAATGAACAGGTTCTATCAAGACAGCAATCTACATTAATATTCTAGACAAGAGAGTGAGGAAATGTTTCAAAGAGATTTAACCCTCACCAAAACAGAAATTCCTCTTAACCTTGTGCAATCTACTGTGGGGTCTGACTAAGCTGAACAGGATTAATTAAACAACATTTCGGCTGACACTCCAATAAGGAGGGAGCTGTAGCCAAGCTCCCCAACTGTCCCAGTCTTAACCCACTTCGGTGAGCTGTTAAATTGACACTTTGGAAACGTGGGGGCCTTTGATCTAGGCAAACTAGCTGGGCAGAGAGGCGCTCTGTTTTATGAAGGATGTCCACTCCCCTCTCCCATGCACCCGCAAGCACATGGTGAGCAATGAGCTTGTCTTTCCAAATTGAAATCAAACCGTACCTGGAACTAAAGGCACTGTCAACCCAAGGACTCTGAGAGGAGCTGGCCTACAGCAGTGTGACCTTCCCCAGGCAGGCAGGTAGAGGAAGGAGCAGACTGCAACAGGACTGTCCTCTTGTGAATGCCAGGCTGCTGACTCACTGGGAGCTCTCCTGGCCAGTTCTGTACTCTGTGGCTCATCAGAAGCATGGCCACTGATTTCAGGCACTTTGTGCTACACGGAGAGCTCTTTGTCTTAGTACGTAGGAACAAAACACAAGAAGCAGCTGGATTGAAAAACTGTGCCGGTCTTTTTCCCCAAGTCAATCCTTAAGGAACATTTCACAAAAAAATATTTTCTTTTTCCCTCGATATGATAGATTTAATGCTTGAGAGAAGTGGCACATTGATGTACAGCCTTTGTTGCAGTAAGCAGGCACAATGGGGTGCAATTGCACAGGCTGCATTTGACACACACAAATGTACAACCACACACACAGCCTGAGATGCAGATGAACAGTTCTAACTAAATTCCACTTCTGGGGACAGCTATTAAATAAAGGTCTTGAAGCTGCCTGGAATAATAGGGAAGACTGCAAGCAAGTATTGGTTACATTCCAGAAGCCATTATGCAGTCCATAATGGTAACCACCAATCATGGGCGATGAGGTTATTGTCATTTATTAATCATGAAAAAAAAATTGAATTGTGTTTTCTAAGGCATGCTTTGTATAAATGCCCTGACAGGTCTGGCCTGTTTAATTCAGCATGTAAAGTACCTGGCTGTTGTGCAGGCTGCACAAGAACAATGAAAGCTATCAGTTACAGCTTTGGGAAAGCGGCTAGACCCAGATGTGTCGAGTGACAAAGCAATTATATCTACAGTGTACTTCGTGGCTGGACTCCCCCACAGTGACAGTAATATTCCTGCATCTATTATACTTAATTGCAACAAACCACTGATCACAGAAAGGAGCAGACACAAACAGCTACTCATCTGCTAGTTCAATCTTGTGCTTAGAAAGGCCTGATGCATATGGTCATGCAAAAAGCCGGCAGCTATACAAGAAAGCAGAGGTATTGAGAGAGAACAGGACAAAATCCTTATATTTATGTAGGGTGCTCATTCTAATATGCCTGGTCTTTTATAGCACTGCATGCATTTTATAGCTCTCAGAGAATGGAGAGCACAAATCCTATGTTGGTATGTAATTGCATGTTAATTCTCATATTTAAAAAGAGAAGATGGTCCCACTGGAGCAGCAGAAACAATAAGAGGCACCAGCTCACCTCCAGCCAGCATTAAAACACACTAGAGCTACTCTGGCTGTTTCAGTTTTCCCACTGGCTTGTTATTTACACTCAAACAAACACCTCTGTATTTTCTTGAAACACTTAAAATAATTAGACAAGTGTGAAATCTAATTTTCATTTTTAAATCAAGGAACGGAGAGATTAGCAGTTGCTTCGAGCAACATGTAACACTTAACAGGTAGAAACTAAAATAAGAAGGCTTACAAAGAACAGGGGAGCCCATCTTGCCCCTTGACATTAAGAAATCTCAAAACCTCATCCAACTGCACCCTGAGGGATCCTTAGATGTCACCGCAATGGTATGGCTGGCCAGCTCTCATCAGGAACAAACTACCGAATCATTAGATGGGGGTGCAGTTTATTGCAGTACGAGTCAGAGGAAAGGCTGTGCAACACAGGCCTTCGGTGTGCCCAGCACATCAGTCTTGTGCAACACTCTTTATGTAGGGAAAGCGCCACAGCTTATCTCCCTGAACCAGACAGCTCATTAAGACCACCGAGTCCCTTCACTCAGCACAGTGACTGGCAAATCTCCCACCTCCTCCTCACAAAACAATTAATCGTTTGATTAAATTAGCTTCACCGGCATTTGAGGAAGAATGCAGCTCAAGCAAGGGGATGACTTGGCAGACCCCTGGCAAGCAGGAGGAACACACTTCGGAGCTCTGGAATAAGGCCCTTGATCACAAACTATAGAAGATCATCAGGGCTCTAAGGTGTCTAAGGCTCTAAGCTGTCTGGCACTTCCTGGTTTAGGGATGGATACAACCTTCCCTGGAGGTTTGTTCATCTTTACACATTAAACACGTGATGTCAGGCACTGGAAAGACGAGAAGAAAAGCAAATTCCAAAGTTT